CAATATCTATTTCTAAGAAAAAAAGCTACAATATCAAATTAACTTCAAACGTGATACTACACATTGCTTAGCATTTTCCTCTATTTGGAGTTGGGTTCTTCTACCCCTATTTCTAAAAAGCTGAGAAAACAAATATTCTTCCAAGGATGTTAAGTTTCTTGTAAAATAAACAGTGACTCAGCTAAGAGGTCAGAAAAGATTTCTGCAATAATGTAATTTGAAAAGATTTTATTTTGAACTTCTGCCTTGAAAGCTACAAACTCAAAGTGGGATGTGGTGTTTGCCATGGTTGCTGTTTCAGCTGTGATTTTATTTACTTTTCCTCCAGCTTAAGTAGGCATAAATGGAGAAAGCAAGCAAGCTAATGTTTTGTAAATATTTCAATTCTGATGTGAACTTATTTTTCACTTTTAGCAGATAATTTTATGTGGCCATTTCTTCATCCATTCATCCACCCAATTTATTTATTTAATAAATATTTACTGAGCATCTACTATGTTCCAGGCACTGATCTAGGTTCTACGACAACATTATCAGCAAGTACAATCACAAGATTTCAAACGTGCTGATTAGATAGTAAGTGATCGGAGGGCTACTTGCAACTGGGCGGGTCTAAGAAGGTTATTCAGAGAGAAAACATTTAAGATAAAATCTGGGTAATAAAGAGCTAACCCTGGAAGACAGGGGAGAGAATCCAGGCGGAAAAAACAGCCAGTGCAAAGGCTAAGTCAGAAACACACTTGAGTTTTTCCAGAAATGGAAAGAAGGCTGTAATCCTTGACAATGAGTTATGAAGTAGGTAGAGACTAGTGTGCAGGGCTTTGCAGGCTGAGTGGAGAGTTGGGTTTCATTCTAATTGCAGTGGAAGCTACCGAAGGGTTTTAAGTAGGGCAGTGACATGATCTGACTTGCACTTTGAAGTGTGCCGTGGTGACACACATCCTGCTGAAGGAGGCTGGGAAAGCATGCAATTGGAGTGCTGGGCTGCTTTTCCCATCATGACCATGGACCTTAAGTGGCCTTCAGTCACATGTGGCAATAACACATGTCCCTAGTCTATTAACTGCTTCTCTCCTAGACAACTGCTCCAGATCACGTTCTCTCCGGAAACCTCCTCACATCCTCATTCCCCACTGATGGCCTTGCTTCTGACTTCACTGAGAAAATGGACATCATTGGGGGAAACTTCCACTACCTTCCAAAGACACGACCATTCTTCCAGGGCCTATGTAGGAATGCAGTCCTTCCTATGAGAGGCCTCTTCATCCCCTCTCTCCTTTCTCCCTTCTCTAGCACATTCTCCAGCAATTCTCCCAGCTCACTGCTGCGTCATCTGCATCTTTACCTACTCCTCATCAGCAAAGAAACCTGATGATTCTTTCTCCATCTTTTTTTTTTAATGTCTTTTGGTGCCATTTTTCTCTCCAGTGTTTGTCCTATTTCTTTGCTACTATTTATAGCCAAGTTTTTCTAAAGCATTGTCCCTATTCACTGTCATCACTTGTGCTTCTCTTCCCATTCTCATGACCCTGCTCCATTGAGACTTTATGGCCACCTCCCCTCCTGAAATTACTTTTTAATGTCCCAATTACTTCCATGTTGGTAAACTCTGTGGTCAATTCTCACTCCTCATCTTAGACTATCCCCAGCATTTGACTAGAGATAGTGTGTTTGGCTGGGGATAATCCTCCTTCCTGAAATGCTTGCCTCACAACCTTTAGGGACCCCTCCCCTGGTTGTCTCTGACCTATGGGTCTCTCTTCCTCTGCTTCCCCTCTTAAAGTTGGTGTGCCTGGGGCTTAGTCCCCTGACCACTCCTCTGTCACCCTCACTGGCTAGTTACTATAGTTATTATCTCATCGATATGCCAGGGTCTGAAATGTGTGTCTCTAGCAATCTCTCCGGAATTCAAGTCTTGTTTATTCAACTGCGTACTCCACACGTCTTTCCAAACGTCTAACGGATACCTAATACCTCGCACACCCTAAATTGCACCTGTGATGTCCTCAGGCCTATTCTGCTCACAGCCATCCCCACCTCAGTGGATGTCCATGTTATACTGCTACTTGTTCTGGCCACAAATCTTGGAGTCTTTCTTCTTTCCTGACTCTTTCTCTCATACTCCACATTCAGTCTATCAGGAAGCTGTGTTGGCTCTGACTTCAAAATGTATCCAGAACCTGAACCCCTTCACGGCTGCCCTGGTCTGAGTTGCCATGATCTCCATCCTGAACTACTACAGTACCCCCTTACTGGTCCCCTTTGTCCCCTCCAATCAATTTTCTACAGAGTGACCAGAATGACCCCTTTAAATGCAATCAAGGTATTCTTTTGCTCCAATCCTCCAGTGGCTCTCTAGCAAGAGTGGAAGCCTTCAATGCCCTTACAGCCCTGCACACCCTACTCATCTCCCCTTCTCTCTCACAGCCACACAGGCTAAAAGCTGTGTTCCAGACACATCAGGCATGCTCAAAGCTCTGGATCTCAGCACTTCTTTTCTCTTCCACTAGATATCCACCTGTCTTGCTGCTTCACCTCCACCAGACTTTTCCTGTCACTCTATTTCAAATCCCAATTGTGTATCCAACTCTACACCCACTTTCCAATCCCTCAGCTTCAACCAAAGCAGAAACACTATATTTTACTTGGTCTACTGTCTGTTCTTTTCCTGCTATATTTAAATTCCACAAAGGCAGGGAATTTTGTATATTGTGTTCACTGTTGCTTCCCAACATCTGGAACAATTCCTTGGCATATAATCGAAGCTGAGCATTGAATAGATGAAAAGAATGAATGAGATGGATACAAGAGTAAGGCAATGAAGTAGTCAGGATGACGCCGCAAGTTTAACTTGAGAAACTGGATGGACGGTGAGATGGGGAAGCCTGAAAGAAGACTAGGTTTCAGGGTTTGCGAGAGAATAGAGCTCGGATTTGGAGATATTGTGAGATGTCCATTAGACATCAAATAGACACATTAGTAGTAGGCAGTTAGCTATGTAAGTCTGAAATTTGGACTCTAGGAGTTAGACAGTCAAATGTGGGTGGCCATCAGCTTGTAAGTGGTATTCAAGTCATGGAGTCAGATAAGCTTATCTGGTCAGAGAAAAGAGAGAGAAGGGAATCAGGTCCAGGGCTAGGCCCAGTTTGGTGCCAACCTTAGAGACAGAACAAAGAAGAGAGTGTTAAAAGGGACTGAAAAGAAGCCGAAAGTGAGGCTGGAGGAAAGCCAGAGTGTTGTAGGAAGGTGGGACTGGAGAGGCCAACACAAAGACACAGGTAACCATAGGCTTGACAGTCTCAGGCTCAGTGGAATGAGAGGACAGAAGCCAACTGATGAGGTTGGAGGACAAAATACAAGTCAAGTGAAGAAGCTATAGTCCACTCCTTGCATCAGTTTTGCTGTGAAGGGGAGCAGAAAAACAGGTTGGTCACGCCCTAGCCTCATTTCCAATCACTGCTTCATTCACAAGGATTCCACTCACCCTCTAACCACTCATCTCTCCAGCCCACTCCTCAAGTATTGGCACTCCAACAAGTCTTCAGCCCCACCAGGACCTGGAAGTCCACATTCTCCCTTCTCTCCTTACCCTGCTACTTACTTTCCATGGCCCACCACCAAGGTTACTTCTTTGCACTTCCCCTTCTCCCTTTACCTTCTTCTCTCTCCCTCCATCACTCAGGCAAACCCTAACTCTGATCAAGTCAAGTCTTATTTTACCCCTGCATTCAAGGAGCTAAACGTGGCTGAATCAAACACACAACTATGCTTATCAGCCTTGTCTTAAACTTAGGAACATAAATCTCAAGTCGATCTTAAAGAATACCCTGGAATATACCACATTACCCTGGTGAGCTGACATTCCTACTTTCGAAGATGATTACTTCACACCAATACTCTTCTCAAGTCTCCAGCATCCCCTCCCACTTCTTCACTCTAATTATTTTGCTTTTTAGTCCACTGAGAAAATAGAGACCACCTTGTCCTCTTGTCACAAAATCTCCTATCCTACCTACATCTATGCCCACACACCCTGCCTTGTTGCAAAGGCCAATGCTTCCATTTGTGCACTGACTGCATCACCAGTTTCCCCATTCTATGGGATTATCATCATGCACACACAGAGCTGCAGTATTTCCCATCCTGAAAAAATACCTTCCTCAAGTTCCCTCCAGATACCAATCCATCTCCCTGTCCCCAACTCTCAGGTCTCCAGAATTCTTTGCAGTGTTCCCTCCCTAACTTCATTCCAGTTTCTGATCATTGTCACTGCTTCAGAGAGATGCCACCTCTATAATATAGTCTGTCCTCTCCCACCCAGCTAAGTCATTTTTTCTCCTTCCCTGTTTACCTTTCTCATTAGCACTTTTACTACTTCAAATTATATGCTTGTCTCCCCTTTAAAATGTAAGTAAACTCCTTGAAAACAGGAGTCTTTATCTACTCAACCCATACCACCTACACATCATGGCCACTCAAATCATTGGTTATATTACAGAAAAAAGTTATTTGAAAAGGGAGGTTCGAAGGCAGCCCTCTATTTCTAGTGAAGGCAAAATACTATAGCATATTTTTATAGATGGGAAGAATCCTATAGAAAAATGTGCTCATGTAGGAGTAAGGGATAATGTAGAAGGTAGAAGAGATATAAATATAGGCACATTGCTGGACTTTGAGAAATGGAAAAAAGTAAGGTCTGGGATAAAACCTCCACTGGTCTCTGTATGTAATACTATCCTTGGAATCCTTCCCCACAGAGTGACTGCTGGGATTGTGTTCTGAGAGGACACCCTGTTACCTTTTATATGAGATTGACCAAAGTCTGTGGTATACCAAATTTCATGATGCAGCAGGCTTCCTAGCAAAAACATGTATTTATTTTGCGTAGCTAAAACATTAAAGCCCCTGGGTGGTTGAAAAAATAATAGCCTACACAATTTTTTTTTTCATGTACTGTAAACTAAGAATGACATTTTCATTAGTGCCTCTTTCTCTTTCAGGAACTATGTGAAAAACAACATTTGTTTTATGAGTCATCACCAAGAAGAATTAGTGCCAAGGCAGCCTCAAAAAAGAAAACCGCAGGAGCAGCTCTTGGAGTGTAACAAGCTGTGTGGTAGGGGCCAATCCAGGCAGCTTTCTCCAGAGACCTAATGGCCTCAACACCTTCTGAACGTGGATAGTGCCAGAACACTTAGGAGGGGGTCTTTGGACCAATGCATAGTTGTGACTCTTGTGCTTTCTTTTCAGTGTCATGGAAATAGTTTTGAAGAGATACTCTGAAATGATAAAGACAGCCTTTATCCCCGCTTCCCCAAAAGGAAGATCAAAAGTTAGATGAGGTACAAGGTCCTAAGTGATCTCTTATTTTCAGCAGGATATCAGGTTGAAAAAAAAGCTACTGGCTGGTTTAATCTACCCTCTCACAGAGCCTTTGAAAAGACTATGTCCTAGTGAAGACAACATCAACCTCTACCTTAAGGTATGTATGAACGGAGGCCAGTCGCAGCTCTATTATACAGACACACAAGTGGCCTGGACACGAGGGTACAGTTTTTGCCTACCAAGACACTACTTGCACTGGGTCTTACGTAAGAAAGAACCAGGACACACAGTGTGGACAATTGCGCATATATTCTATCTGGATTAGGGGAGGGTCCCGGCGAGGATTTCAGTAGTAATTCCTAGTTACAGTTCAAAAAATATGAAGATTATACACTTATTTTATGAATTATAAACTACAATTTAATGCAAAATATCCTTTTATGAATTTCATGTTAATATTGTAAAATATTAAAAGAATTCTGCAATAGTTGAGAAAAATGAGCATTTTTTCTGTTTTTGAAAAATACATAGAAAAGACAGTTTTTAAATCCTGGGACTACATTTATTTAGAAGTAGCTGTTAGTAAAATATTAGAAAAGGAGTCAGGCCTTAGGATATTTATCCAAATTTCTAAGCAATTAGGTTGAAGTTGATTAAGTCAAGCCTATAAAAGTGGCATCCTTAAGGCTTTCATGATGATGTATAGTCATCCACAGTGTCCTGCAATTCTTCACACGCCTCAGGAATATCACTACCTCAGGTTACAGCACACAGGCTATAATCGATGATGACTTTCAGATGACCGAAGACATAATAAATAACATTCAGACATCTGGACAATTCCCTCACTATGTGCCTCTCTCTGATGGCCACCTGTACCAGCAACGTGGGTTTCACACACACAATGATGAACTGTTCTCTACTTCTCCAGTTGATTTTAAAGACTTGGTAAGATGTCTTACTAATAAAATTTGGGTATGATGATAGAAAATCCACAATCAAATCTTGAACCACTTAAGTAGTAACATATTAAATTACTGGTAAGTGATGGATGACACACAAAAAACTTAAAAGCATGAACAACCTAACTTGGAAAAGAATTTTAAAACATGATTAACCTCAAAAAAAGAGAATACTAAGAACCAAAGCTCCTTTTTATTTAGCCTGGAATTTTCCACTGGTTCCTAACAAACTGTCTCAATGTCATATAAGGGAACATGATCTACTACATTCCCTTATAACAATGCAGAGAGACTATAAATCCATGTAAGATAGTAAAACTATATCAGAGACTCAGGAGAATGACTAAAAGGCCTGGATCTGCAGTGTATTATCTGCATTAAAATTGGCAGGAGGAAGCTAAAATTAAAGATTTGAGATCTCAGTTCTATCATGGTATATTTCAAATGCAAGTTAGAGCATGCATTGTCTTTTGTTTTTGGAAAGAGAAGGTAAAGTGTGTTCTGCCCCGTGTTTCCTAGTTCAAACACTATATATACTTTAGATATTTTTTGGTTTAGCCATTCATTGTAAATGGGCAGGAAACTGTTTATCAACCTAGCTTGGTTTATTACTAGTGACCTCGACTTCAGTATCTTGAGCATTCTATTTTTCTTTTATTATCCTGGGTCTGTAACTAAACAATTTTGTCTTCAAATTAATTTTTATCCAATATCCACTGCCCCACACCAAATCAAGCTTTGTGATTTTCAAAAATAAAAAGGGGGAAATACTTACAATTTATACAAATACATTCACAGTTTTTATTTATAAAAAAAATTTACAGTACTTATGGAGAGCCAGCAGAAGATATCAGAGCACTCACTTCTTCTCGTCTTTGTTAAGTTGAGCAAATTACCCATGGACACTGCTAGGTGAAGCTCACTCGGCAGCCCTGAAACCAGACCTGGTCACACTGTCTTTACGCTCTCCCTTTAGATAAAGCACTTCAATTAGCTATTGATCTGCCCCATTTTCAAGTCATATGAATACTAAGAAGGTTCCATCATCTGGATCTGTACGTTGGCTATATAAGCGTGTTTTCCCCCATTCTATATTTCTTTTTTCCGTTAACATTGCAAAACAGGAGGTGCCTTACTACTGTTAATTAAAACTAAATGAAAAATGTAAAATCTTTAAAACAGTGGGCTTGTAACTCTTTCATGTAATTTTATTCTCCATATTTATGAGTTTGGCTAGCCTACTGAATCTTAAATGAAGGAAATAAACTTTTTTTTTTTAAAAAAAAGGAATAATAAAAGTCTAAAAATCTCAATGAAATCTTTCATAAGAAAAATGTAAGTTAGGCTTTGCATTCTATTTTAGAAGGAGTGAGAAGCAGGTTAGGGAAGGCATTGAGAAGAAAAAAGATAAAAATAGTATGTATCATTCAATGCAGTGCCTAAGCCAGGTTTTCAAGATTTTACAATATGGTAAGGAAAATATACTATACATGGAGGTTAGGATGTTGCAATTTTTCCACAAAGGTTTTAAAACATTTTGGAAATGCAAGTTTTTGTGGAACATTGTGTTGGAATATTGTCTCCATTAAGTTTCTCCTGAGAAGTTAATTGGAATCTCAACTTAGCTTTATTTCTCGGTATAATTACTGTTGGTTACACTAAACTCCTAAATCTAAGTGGCAAGGCACAACTACAGCTTGATCCTGTATTACCACTTCAGGGTTCCTGGGTGAGCCAGACGCACTGTTTCATAAATGGGTATTTATTATCACTTTAAGAGTAGCAATTCATATACTGAATAGTCACTCTTTAACTCCATTAAATAAGATATAGCAAGGGGAAGGACAACATCACACGAAATGGCTTTCAAATTCAAGCGGGGCTATTTGATCGTTACATTGTGGCACAGAGGCAGCTTGGCTTGTGGGCACTTCTTGTTAAAACAGCTCAATGTTACACCAGCTTCTGACAAGACTCTTAGTATAGCCTTGAGCACCAACCCAAGATTAAAGAACCTCAATCACTTCTCTACAACTACAGGTGTTGAGTCTTTCCAGAAAAACAAAGGTCCAAATGAGGCACCATTCATCACAGCTTCTTTCTCATGTCCATCTCGTGGATAAGAGGTTTCTCTTTTTAAAGCTACAATTTCTTAACTTTTACAAGTTATTTAACATTTTCTATCATATTAAATTAGCAAAATAAAACATTATCCTTTATCTATAAACTTCTAGTCCGGTTCCCTAGAGTTTATATACACGTTTTTATTTCTAATCTTCAGGAAAAAAAAATTTCTATTTGTTATTTGGTAACAGAGCATTAAAAGATACTACACACATGTGGTGCATACACACACACACACACACACACACACACACACACACAAAATACACTTCAAAAAGAAGCCAACACACTTTAGCCAAAGTCTTAAGCTTGCATAGATTTTTAAAAAAAGAAGTATGAATACAATTTTTGATAAAATGGAAAATGGGGAATAAAAGTTATAGAATGGATATGAAGAGAGATTTTTCCAAACTTTTATTTGTGCACATTCAATTGAAAAAGATAACTTTTACAGGTTCTTTGGTGCCCATATTCAGCATACAAAAATGTAAAAGACTATTCACAAATAAAACACATTAGCTCAAAATGGAAAAAAAGAACAATGACAACAATAAAACAATCTAAGGTAGTGCACACTGTGACAGCTCTGCTTATGGGGACATGAGAATTACTGCGAAAATAAATAGAGTGTCCTTTTGTAAAAGCAGCAATGTCATGTCTTGTAAACTTCCTTTTATATTACAGCAAGGTTTGGAATAAAATCCAAAGGGACTGGAGCTTACACTGTAGCCGTGAATTAATAAAAGAGTCTATTTCCTCAATTACTGTTGGTCCAGTTTTCCTTTTGAGTCCAATGTGCAGCAGGTTTTAAAAGGTGCTCAGTTAGAGATTCTAACCAATTAAGTGGTGACTTATAAAATTTCTTTCCTGCTTTCAAACACAAATGGGTAAATCTGTTCCACAGCAGTAGCAACAGCCTTTACGTTGGGCCCTGTAATAAACACAACAGAGAAAGGAGTGAGAAGAGCTGGAAAGCAGAGCACTAGGAAAAACTGATTTCCCAGAATTAAAAATATTCAAGTAGTAGAGAATATCAAGTTAATTGTTTTTTAAAAAAACTACACATATAATTATACACATAGTCATCATAAGGGCAAAAATAATACAGATTTTTTTCTGGGCAATTAAAGGACATATGAAACACAAAATGAGGTTATTCACTTTGTTTTAGGGCACCAGAGTGAATAAAAAGTATACAAAAAACTGCATACAAACTATCATGGACTACTATGGTTTAAAAACCCCCACAGATTCACCACCACTGGGTATCCACATGTTTGTTACCAATCTGATCATAAGCCTCAGAGCTTATACGAATCAATAGAAAACAAAAAAAGCAGAAGGCTATGAGGTGACCACATGTATGTTAATTCTCGAACAGCTTTATAAAAATGTAATCTTTCATTTAAATAGCTAAAAAGAAACATAAAAAGGACAATGAAAACTATTTTAATAAAATTTATTTCAATAAAAATGGCTTCATTAATATACACTTACTGCTTTTGAAAGACCCAGGAAACTAACAAATTCACCCACTGTAAACTCTCTAAAGGTCCTAACCACATCCTGTCTTGGTCAGGTCCTTCCTGACTCATTTTACCCCCACGCTGCTATGCTTTGCTCACGGGAACCAATTCAGTATTACTAACGTTTCACAGGATATTCCTGGTGTAAGTAAATAATGCATACCACTTAACCAGGTCAATTGTCTTCAGTTTGTTATCGTTTTAATATCTAGTAACTCAGTAAACAGTTTTGCATATGCATTGTTTTATTGTATACTTAGCAGAGATTTACTAATAGACTTTGGAGCTTCTCAGATGTCCAGGTTCCAAAGTGTAGAAACAGAGAGCAGAAAGAAGGGAAGAAACAGACGTGTCCCCTGCTGTCCCATATTTAAGATTCAGGTGGGATCTTGGAATCCGCTTTGAAAGTTCCCAAGGAAAATGGAAAAACCCATGGGATGAGTTAAAACTAAAGTTTATTTGTTGAGAGATTAAATTGTTATTTTCCTCTAAGGACTGAAGAAAGAAAAAACAAAGCTCAAGGACACTAAAGAAATCTTAATTCATTTTTACCTAAGGTTGGGCCTGACTCTCAAGCAATGCCTCTGTACACTTTATAATCATTATAGTACCATTAAAAAGTCACACAACATGCTAATGCTACCCTTTGACATGAATGCCTAGTCTTCTGAAACTACCCCTTCTCCAAATAAAGATTCAAAAGATACAGCAAGATAAACATAATAAACAGGTACCAATTATATTTAATATTTTGCTTATGTAAAACCTCTGTGAAATTTATAAAATCAGTTTCTCATGAGTATTTGAAATGTAAGATATCATAAATTAAAAAAAATATATCATACTATGGATACACACACCAGAATATTTTTAAAGCTCCACACTGGAAACTATTCAAATGTCCATACATAAGAATGAATGATCTACATACAATTATACAGAACATAATGCAGATAAATCTCACTAAGATAATGCTGAGTGAAAGAAGACAGACACAAAATAATATGTGTAACATTTGTAGATAGTACAAAAATAGGTAAAACACATCTACAGTGCTAAAAGTCAGGAGACTGCCTCCTAAAGGGCAGAAGTGACAGATAGGAACAAATCAGACATTATTTCTATGTTGGTATGAGCATCCTGTATCACTCAATCCATAATTGACAAGTTTGGTAACGATATAATAGAATACCTGTTACTGTGATACTTCCTGTCGAAAAAATCTGTAATGTAGCTCTTAGAGACTTTATCCGATAGCACACAGCAGGATGAAGTTCAGGTTCATAACTACACAAAAAAAGCCACAATTAATATAAGTGTTTATAGCCTGACTGGTAATTTCAAATTTGGTAATTTATCAAGAGAATCTGCTTCAAAGACTTACCTGGCATGAGGTCTATTGTTCTTTGTGAATTCTGGCAAACGGATTTCAAATGGCATGTTACACACTGCCAAAACGTTAACAACCTTAAAATCTGTAAATATTACCTTTAGGAGAGAAGTAAAGCTCAATAAATTTATTCTGAAACAAACAAAAAAGTCTGCTCATAATGGCAATCCTTAATAATTGTCAATCCTTAAAAACAAGAGCAAACAAGATAAAAACATTTTAAGTGTATGTTTAGTACTGTAAGTTGCGTAGCATTGAAAGCTTTGTTTTTTAAAAAGCTCAAAAACATCATTAAAAAAATTAAAACCTGAGGTATTTGCATGATTAAAACAGTATGGGTCTTTCTAATCATATGTGTAATTTTTTTTTAAATACTTTAAGTGAAATACTTAAAACTACTAGGAAAAGAGGGAATAGTGAGGGAAAAAATTTAAGGCCAGGTCATCCTGCTAGAGCAAAAATGGAAAAGATGTCACTTTAAAATGTCAGTAAATACAGACTGTACACTGGGCTCCAAAAGTCAGATGTTTTTCTCATATGCAGTTAGGTAAAATGGCATTTCTGTAAGATTAGTACAGAAATTTGGGGATAGAGTGACAAAATTGTTTTTAACTAATCGGGATTTCTCTCTACACTTCTGATGTCATGCTAAGAAAAGAAGTTCCAAGGCCGAAAATAATGCTCTCTTAACAGTAATAACTTCGGCCACTCCTACCAGCATCTTCAACTGTTTCATCTTGTTATTTTTCAAACATTCCTCCTAAAATCACAATTTCAGAGGCGCTAACTATCCTCCAGCTCAGTCTTGCACACAGCAGTTGCAGAAAGCCAGGAAACCACAAAGTGGCAGCACTCTCAAATCACAGTACAACTCAAGACTCTCTACTGCCTCCCTCCTCAAGCATGAACCCCTTCTCCCACTAGCCATTCAGTCTTTTCCTATCACCGTCTACTTCAGAAGGACTGAGTAGACTGAGTCATCAGAGGGAAACGCAACTTTCCATCCCCACTTCTACAAATTTGTCTCGATCCCAAACAGCCTTGCCTTCACCCTGAGGGAGCATATCTCATTTTTATCTTTCACTTCTCTATTATTTGCAAGTGATCTAGCAAGTCCATAATACATAATTATTTTATTCAAAGGTATACCGATATCAAATTACACTGATAAGGCTGACATGCCGGTGACAGTCACGTTACAAGTGTGAGAGCCTGCCAGCTGGTGTGTCCATGTCAACAGGCCTCTGCAGTTCTCTATTTACCATCCTGACCTGGCATTCTTGAGATGACCAAAAATGATTTTGTATGTGTATGTCAGAAGTGAAAAAACTTAAAAAGAGTTGAAAAGGAAATTAACCTGTGAGGAAACAAGTCCCTTTATGGGAAAGGAATTAGGGAAAAAGCTAGGATCCTTTACAAATACCCACATGGCCAAATTTTGCTACTAATTTTCACGCTGAAGGGCAGTATTAAAAACCTAGAAAAAGTTCAATCACGAGAATAGTATGTATAGTGATTTCTTGAGTCTATTACAATTTTTAATTCTACAACAATAAATCCTTCAATATTTGTAGTTTAGATAGTGTTTGAAAATGTTACCTGAAAACCGAGTTTCTGCAGACTGCGGGCTAAACGTCTGGCACCAAATTTAGCTTCTTCTTCACTATGGTTTTAAGGAAAGGAAAAGATGATCAGTCACACAGGAAATAAATTTTTACCCCGAGGAACACAGCAAGCTTTACATATAATTTTGCTGTTAAATCTAGGACAATGTCCTTTCCTTGAGGATAAAAGTAAAAAATAAAAATAAAAAATTCAAGTAGCATTTACCTTGTTGCTCCAGTGCAAATAATTTTTCCTGACGACCAAATTGTAGCTGTAATTCTAGGTTTTCTAAGCTTCATTAATACTTTCTGGGGGGGAAAAAAATCTGATTACCTCATAAGCATTACTTTTCACATATGGTTCTGTTGTATACAGCCATATTAATGTCCAAGTACTACTCCAAGCTTAACCAAGACTGCAATAACTGCTCTCCAAATCACCCATTCTGAAATCAAGTACAATGCTAAACACAAAGAACATATTAATCCAAAAAGACATTTGATTAATTAAAAATACAAGGTGGATAGAAACCTCTCACTCTATATACTTGAAATAAATATACTCCAAGTACATAAACATTTCAACTCTCATTCCACTCCAGTCACATAACTGGAACTTACATGGCTCCTCACACACACCAAATCTGTTCATGCCTCAGAAGCTTTGCAGTAGCTGTTGCTTTCATTTGGAATATTCTCCCCTCAATATTCTCACTTCATTCAGGTCTCTTATCAGAGGTCCCCTCCTGAAGAGAGGCCCTCCTTTACCATTTCCCGGAAACACCCACCCCTTCATCACCTTCTAATTCCTAACCCTGCTTTATTTTTATTCTGCTTCGTGGTACCATCACTACTTTATATTGCATCCTAGAGTTGGGATGCTTATTACATACTCAAGTTCAACACGGGCATCTTGAGTAATAGAGAAATGTTGTAGCTGGAGAAGAAATTAATTAGCTTTGGAAGGCATTTAAAGCTACGGGTTACAATGAAATAACTACAAAGTGAGTATAAATAGTTCAAGGACTAAGCTCCAAGATAAGCTGCAAATTTAAATTTTCATTGCAACTTTTCATTAATGGGAATATTTGTTAAAGCCCATTCTATGTAAGAAAGCGATAAATGTTTACTGACTAACATATAAATGAATCAGAGGTTTCTGCTTAAAATTTTTGTTACATTTTGAGTTCTTCATTCCCTGTCATATGCCAGATTATCACACGAGAAAGCTATTAATCTGGGCAGACTCACATCTTTAGTTAGTTTCTAGTATTAAGAATTAATGACAATTTACGTAGGTATCCTGGCATCTAATTTTTTGAGCTAAATAGAGTCTTGAGATACATTCTTAATTTTCATAATAAATGTATAAAATGCATATCCATCTCATCAATCTTTGGTTTATAATGACATTCAATATCTTTTATAATGTTAATCTCAAAACACTAAGGTTTTGTTAGTTATTAATATTCAGGCTTTAAAATATTACAGGTTTAACAAAAACTAAAATTCAAGCTGTCCAGTTTATCTTAATAATATCTTATAATCATATTATTTTCAGCAGTTTGTTATGAAAGAAAACCATCTATGTTGGTTAATTAAAAAAGAATATGATAATTAATATAACAATCATATATTAAGGCATCATTCAAATATAATAATATTTGAATGGGTACATGTGAGAACATAAAGGTTCCTTTCTTTGGTTAAAATAAACTGAGAGAACAGTAAAATGTCTCTGTAACCAATGAGTTCTTTGCTGATTCAGGCACAGGCACTCTATGTACAAAAGCTTGCACCTCCATGAGATGAAGGACTGCTTTTACAGGGTCACTTCTGTATCCAGGACAACTAGCGCATGGTAAGGTGCTCATAAACTACCTGTAGAATGAATACATTTTAGTATCACTCATAGAACTATAAAATTAGGCTATGTAGTACAAATACCAAAACTCAAATACTTACTCCAACATCACGTTTATAAATTACATTTGCTCCTTCCAAAGCAATCTTCCTTAAGTTCAAATGGCATCTTGTTCTAAAAACACAGACTACATTTGTAATTAGAATGTCCAATGCAACGTCACTGTCTGCATCCATTGGGGTGGCTTAAAAATTTAGCTTTTCACCACGAAGATCACATCCTGAGAAATAAAACAAATAAGATAAAGTCATTAAACTTAAATGTTCTCTTAATTCTCTTTTCATAAACAATCTTGAAATGTAAACAATGAATCTATATTTGTTTTTCAAATATTACTAGAATCAAATCATGTCCCTGGCCAGGCACGGTGGCTCACATCTGTAATCCCAGCACTTTGGGAGGCCAAGTTGGGCGGATCATCTGAGGTTTGGAGTTTGAGATCACCCTGGCCAGCATAGTGAAACCTGGTCTCTACTAAAAATACAAAAATTAGCCAGGTATGGTGGTGTGTGTCTGTAATCCTAGCTACTCAGGAGGCTGAGGCAGGAGAATTGTTTGAATCTGGGAGGTGGAGGTTGCAGTGAGCCGAGATTGTACCACTGCATTCCAGCATTCCGGCGACAGAGTGAGACTCCAGCAAAATAAACAAACAAACAAACAAACAAAACAAATCATGTCCCTTCTTCTCCCCACTAAAAATGCCATTTTTAAAAAAGCTACCATGACATCCTACATACTTCAAAATCCAGGCCTTCCATTCCTTAAAAAGTAACTTTTACTTCCCAAGAGTTTGCCAGATTTAGCTAGGTACAATGTGGCAGAAATAAAATACTACAGATTTCAGCTTCCCTAGCAACAACTGGTATAGCCAACTGGCCACCTGAATATGTTCTGGTCAATGACACATAAAATGAAATGCTTATGTATCTTCCGGGAAGTCTACTTAGAGCAACCAACTAAGCCAGCAAGGGCTCCTTTGCCTTTCTGCCCTTTTTCCTTCTTGCTGTCGAAAGGTTGGATGTGAGAGCTAGAGCTCAAGTAGCCAATTTTGGAGCACCAGACAATAAGGAGGAAGATGGCAGAACAAGAAGACAGAAGCAGCCTGGGCCCCTTATGCTGTAAATCTCCTTATTATCCCCCTACTTCTTAATTCTAGACCGCATGAGTGTGAGAGAAAAATCAATTTCCCTCATGTTGAATTTCTGTGATATCCAGCCAAACTTAATCCTAACTGTTGCACATCCCTTTAGGATAAGCTACCACAAAGTAACTACGTAACAGGAAACTTCATGTGAATAAACTATCAAATTTACTATTTCATGACAGACTTGTTTTTATATTAAACAGGTGAAAACAAATGGACTCAGATTTACTACTTTTGAGTTCTACTCTATTCTGAATTTACTATTTTGAGTTCTGCCTGAGAGGACAAAACTAAGGATAATATTAGTAAAACTGAGTCAAGAATAAAGGGTAACACAAATCTGTGTGAATGCAAAAAAGCAGCCTTGAAATTAGTTCAAAATTGCTAATTTTTCAATATTTCGGCAACTTAAATTTTAAAAATAAGGTCATGAGAATAGTTCATCAGAAGTTACTAAGTATTCACATTTTATAATATGAGTAATCTGACAAGCAGGCTTAGAAAATATTGCTTTAATAAGAAGTTTCCAATTAAAGATGCGATATAAAAAGTCACTACTTTTTAAAAAGAGGCAACCTACATGAAAGAGCACATTTTTTGAAGCATGAAAAAAGACCCACTTGCAATCAGTTCATCTGTCTTGTAGAACAAGAGAACAGAACTGGATATTACCAAAGATTTACTTTTAAAGTTAAATATATTATATCCCTTTTCAGTAGTATAATTAGAATGACAGCCCAATGAGACAGACAAATCTCAATTTCTACAAAGCATCTGATTGCCTACCATATCATTTGTATTTTTAAGTGTAGTGACATAATTTATTGATGGGTTAAAGTGGTCTACCCGACTAAATGTTAGTAGTTCAAAGGCTTAGGTTATTCTTGAAAACAAACACACACACCACTTTGTTTAAATTAAAACAAGAACAACAACAAAACAGCTAAATGAAAGACGAAAACTAATTCCCCAAAGGGAATATATATTCCAAATTGTTTATGACTATGATATACCTACACTTAAACATCAGAATCACCTATTTCCCCTACTAAATTAAGCTTCTTGAGATGAAAGACTGTTTTATAGGTCTATACATTCCCATGGCTCAACATTGTTTCTGACACATTATAAATGTTCAATTATTTGGTGTATCAACGCTATGAAATCCAACATTTCAACCTCTGAACTATACTAAATTTCTCCTCTACCTAGAATTCCAAACTATTTCTTTTAGTTCTCAGCATGAAAAAAAAAAACCTATCAGCAAGGCTGAAACTTTATTTTCAAAGCCACGTATTTTCACTGAATGCAAAAGACTTAACAATCTTTCTTCCTACAAGTCCTTTAACACAACATTCATGAAAACGCATATACAGTATACTTCATTATATTTAGTGGTGGTTTATTACATGATTTTTTTTAAACTGCTTTGTATAGCTTCGAAAGGGAAAGTGTTTAAGCAACTCTACCAAAAATATAGCATTTGAAAGTGACATTTAAACCTACAAAGCTATTAAGCCTGCTAACCATGGCCCTACAGTATAAAATATTCAAGATATACAAAAAGGCAAAAAGAACACAATGAACATCTATGTACCTACTATTCAGCTTAAAAAATAAACATTATAATACAATTGATGCCTCTCCATGCAGTTCTCCAAATCACATTCTCCTCAATGTTCCCTCCAGAGAAAACCTCTACTTTCAATTGAGGTTTTATCATTCTCATATATTTCTCTTAAATTTATTACACATACACAGTGTTATGTCCCTAAATCCAATTAATGCATGACTTTTAAAGATTATTGATGGATCTGGTTTGCTAATACTTCATTTAGGATTGATATATCTATGTTATTAAGCAGAATTAGCCTGTAACATTCCTTTCTTGTATTGTCCTTATCTGGTTTGAGCATCAAGGTTATACTAGACTTATTAGACAATTTAAGGTAGTTTATTTCTTTTCTCTTTCTTTCTTTTTTAATTCTCTGGAAGACAGGTTAGAAGACGTTACCTGAAAATTATCTGAAACTGTTTCTTGTTTGATAAATTTTTAAACACTAATTCAATTTCTAAGAGTTTTTAAATAGTTCATGTCTCTGTTTTCTTCTTGAATCTGTCTTGCTAAATTAAATTTCCCATTTCTTCTAAATTTTAAGATTTACTGGACATACAATACTTCATGGCTGTCTTAATAATCTTTTAAAGTCTATTATAGCCTACTTATCCTTTTTTCATTCCAGTGTCATTTATTCCTGCTTTTTATTGCTCTCGTTAATCTTACCGGAAGGCTTTTCTACTTTGGTTTCTTCACAGAACAAACTATCAGTAGCTGATCCTCTCTACTGAATTTTTTGCCCATGTCCATTATTTCCTCCTTCCACAGAGTTAATATATTATTTTTCTAATTTCTTACATGAAAGTAATAAAGTTGAATACTTTGGTTTTGAACTGTCTTTTCTTGTATGAACATTTAAGATAATTATAATCCAGTTCCTTAGATGTGACTGAAGTTGGACATGTGTTTTCATTATCCCTTGATGCTAATGATATTAAAATTCAATTTTTTCTTGCACTAATCAGTTATTTGTTTAGCAGTTCTTTGCATTTACTAGTAATTGAGGAAATGCTAACTTAAAAAAATAAGATGCCACTGACTTATATTGGCAAATATTAAACAATGTGGAAGGTGTGAGTAAATCAGTGTTCTTTTAGTTTGGTACAAAAACTTTCTATAGGAGATACTCTGGCAGTGTGTTTTCAGATAATTTAAAATGTGCATATATGCGAAACTGCAGTCAACTGGTAACAATAAGAAATAACTGAACTGAGCAAAGTATAAATAAGATGATATACTGCAATTTTATTTATAACAGAAACGACCTGCACATCCAATGAAAATGGACTAAATACAGTATAGTCTTATACGACAGACTACTAAATGGAGCTCATAAATTATAAAGCTACACATGTATAGACAGAGGCCCATGTTAATTAGAGTAGAAAAAAATTGTATGTCTAATTATGAGTTTATTTTGGTTTATATATCCACATATGCACTTATGTAGTTATATCTGCCAAAATGTTAACAACTGTTCTATTCAGAGACCTGGCACAACAGAGTGCCTTTTCTTTTTGATTTCTTTTTTTTGGTAAAGTCTGGATCTGTTTTAAAAAACAAATATATATATATATATATATATATATATATATATATAAAAGGTTTAGTATAAAACAAATAGTTGTTCCCATTTTGATGTAACTATAAATACCAATTATTTGCCCACTGCCCAAGGGCTAATATTAAGACATAAATTGATCAGGTTTTGTCCCGTTTCTCAAGGAAATGGCTTAGTTTGACTTGTCAAATATTTTCTTATAAAAAAAGCAAACATCAGAACTGTAGCTGTCTTCCCTTCGGAAAGTGGCATATTTCTAGCTTCCTATTAAAATGCATCATAGAAGTTAAAACACATCCTTCCACACTCAATGATTTTGTGGACAAGAGCACATTATCTGTATCTTTGGTCCTCTTTCTAGTGGTATTCAAAAACATTGCTCCAGCAACTACAAGGAATTGAAATCTTAACTGGAAAACATCGCCACCTTCTGGCTTTTAAGACATATTGCATCAAAGACTACTACATTAAAAATTTTCCACACCAGGAAAGATATTTAAACTGAAAGGCCACAATAAGCCCTGTCATAAAAACAGAGCAAAAAGGGCTGGGTGCGGTGGCTCAAGCCTGTAATCCCAGCACTTTGGGAGGCCGAGGTGGATGGATCATGAGGTCAAGAGATCGAGACGATCCTGGTCAACATGGTGAAACCCCGTCTCTACTAAAAATACAAAAAATTAGCTGCACATGGTGACATGTGCCTGTAATCCCAGCTACTCAGGAGGCTGAGGCAGGAGAATTGCCTGAACCCAGGAGGCGGAGGGTGCGGTGAGCCGAGATCATGCCATTGCACTCCAGCCTGGGTAACAAGAGCAAAAATAAATCTAAATTCTAACTGAAATCCAAGAGATTAAATAAACCTGAGAATGCAGAAAAGAAGAATTTAGCTACTTTAAA